GAAGAACTGCTATGGTAGTATATTGTTTGTAATCTAAGAAATAAAGCTTTCCTGAAGATCAGAGGACAGAGCTAGCCACAGAGTTAGCCATAGAGGTCAGGCAGGGGTGGCACACACCTTTAATCCTAGCACTCAGGGAGGCAGAGGCTGAGATCAGTATGGTTTTCTGTGAGTTAAAGGCCACACTGGGCTACATGAGATTAATCCAGTCTAAAAGAGAAACAGAGCCAGGCAGTGGTGGCACACACCTTTAATCCTGGCACTAGGAAGGTTAAGACAGGAAGTGATATGGCTGAGCAGAGAAAGGAATATAAGGCGGGAGGAGACAGGAACTCACTCTCCTTTCAGGCTAAGGAATTGGTGAGGTAAGAGGTGGTGGCTGTGGCTTGCTCTGTTTCTCTGATCTTTCAGCTTTCATCCTGACATCTGGCTCCGGGTTTTATTATAAGACCATTTAGAATTTGAGCAACAAACTGCCATTCTGTTTTCCACAGTAGCTACCTGCTGTTAAGTAGTATGTCTGTTTACATGGGTTTAATACAGTTGGCTATTGTGTAGAGTTCCTCAGTTTTCTGCTATCTGGCTGCTGTAAATATTGTAACTGTCCTTTTCCTGATTGCCTCGTTTCTGAAAAGGACAAATAAAAATGGAGCATAAAAGGTCACTAGCCCTTTATATCTTATAGAAACCCCTTCAGCTGGGATAAGTAGAAAGGAGTCTAAAGACTTTTTTTTTTCCTTCGTTTTTTTGCGACAGGATTTCTCTGTGTAACAGTCTTGGCTGTCTTGGAACTAGATCTGTAAACCAGGCTGCCCTCGAACTCACAGATTCACCTGTGAGTGCTGGGATTAAAGGCATGCACCACCACCACCACCACCACCACCGTTGTAGACAGAAGTTTTCCTGTGTCCCACCTGGTCCCACAGCCGCTCAGTCCCAAGTAAACACAGAGACTTATATTAATTACATACTGTATGGCTCAGGCTTCTTGCTAACTAGCTCTTTCATCTTAAATTAACCTATTTTTATTAATCTATATGTTGCCATGTGGCTATGGCATTACTGGTCTGCTGGCATCTTGTTGCTCCTTGGGTGGTGGGCTGGTGTCTCTTCTCCCCATCTGTCTCTTTTCTTTATCTCTGCTTGGATTTCTCACTTGCCTCTAAGCTGCCTTGCCATAGGCCAAATGGGAACAACATATATTCACAGCATACAGAAAGACATCCCATAGCACACTGCCCCACAACTTTCTGTCTTTTATCTGCACCTCTGTGATCAGAAGCAGTATCAGCTATCAGAGCACACAGATGCCGTATACTGGGAGTGCAGAGTCCTTTTTTTCTCCACCCAGACTTTACCAGATAGCTGTGGTTGTGCCAAGAGCTGAACTTGACTGAAGTGAACCCCAATTTGCTGTCTAAGCCTTACCCTGAATGTTGGAAGCCTTCCATAGATGCCGAATTTCCACAATAGCTATATCAAACAGGGTTTACCAGTGGAATTGTCTCAGTGGGAAGATGAAATTTCAGGGCATCATCTGAAAATCATCACATTGAAGTATTTCTTTTTTTCTCCCCTCTACATGTTTTTATTAATTTCTTGGGAATTTCATATAATGCATCCCGATCACACATGCTTCCCATTCTTTCCAGGTCCTTCCCACCCTTGTGCCCCACCCCCAAGGTCCAGTTTGTGTTGCCCATATACTCAATGGAGCCTGGCCAAACTCCAGTGACCAGCCCTTTAAAGAGAACTGTGTCCTCCCCCATCCCACTCCCACCCTTCACCAGAAGACATCAAGTGTGAATAGTTACACTTTAGCATCTTTATCACAATTTGTAAGGATTCTTAAATAGCTTCATGTCTGGACTATTTCATTTAGGAGGGTAGGGAGAGAGGTTGGCACAGAAGCCTTCAATGTCTCTCATTAAGTTATGAGTGCAGTCATCGATCAATACCATTGCAAAAGAAGCTTCTCTGCCTATAGCAGCTGGAGGTATCATGGATCATGGATATCAACATGATTTCCAGTGGCAGCCCAGATCACGGACATCAACATGGTTTCTAGTGCGCGCTATTTATATAGGTACCCTCAGAGGGCAGAAGAAGACATTGGATACCCTGAAACTGGATTTCTAGATAGTTGTAAACTACCAGATGTAGATGATGGAAACTGAACTTGGGTCCTCTGAAAGAGCAGGAAGTGTTCTTAACCACTGAGCAATCTCTCCAAACCTGTTGAATAATTTCTCAGTCTTTTTATTTATGTTGGTGACCAAAATAACTGAAAATTGACCACTGGAAATCCATTTGAACTGGCTCCTATAGCCATGTGATACTACTTTGTCATATCTTCAAGTACTTCTTTGTAATTTGATATTAAAAAAGGTTTTCAGAAATTGCAATACATAAAACCTCTTCTGCCCCATCCATGGATTGAGTCATTTCTCTGAGGACTTTTAGTGGGGACTAGTATTGGAGACCAAGATCTGACACATGATATGTTCACTGCTATTGGAGTGCTTTGTTTCTTGGCCTTTTCAGGAGACAGAGCTAGAAAATTTGTGCTAACAAATTTTTTCTAACACACCAAACCATATCATCTTTATACTGCTTTTATACATGCTCCTGTTTCACATTTCCATGTTCCTTCTTCCACATTAAGACTTACCATTTTTTGGTTTTTTTTTTTTTGGTTTTGTTTTGTTTGTTTGTTTGTTTGTTTAGTAAAAAATTGTGAGCCAAACATGGTGGCCTATGCCTTTAATCCCAGCACTCGGGAAGCAGAGGCAGGTGGATCTCTTGTGAGTTCAAGGCCAGCCTGGTCTACAAAGCCAGTTCCAGGACAGCTAGGGCTACACACACACACACACACACACACACACACACACACACACACACACAAAAACCCTGTCTCAAAAAACCAAAAATAATAATAACAATTTGCTTGTAATGGATTGTTTCAGTTTCTTTTTAAAATTAATGACATCAAAGTCTTAAATGTATTTTTGAAAGTTTTCTTTTGGATATGGAATTCTTGGTTGACAGTTTGAGCTTTTAGGGTGTTTTCTACCCCTAATAATATTAACATTTGGCTTTAAAGATACCCTTTTATATTAAGGATTTGACATGAAGTCTGTTGTATTTCTTCTCATTGTTCTATATTAATGAAACTGGTTTATAATTTGGTTGTGGTAGTGGTTACTCAACTCTGTTCATTTGACATTAATTATAAAATTGTATATCAAAGAAAGAAGTTTGGTATCTCTGAACTTAAAATACAAGTATTGTAAGGATACTATTTACTGTTCACTCTAGTCTAAGAACACAATAATAAAAAAGCTAGTTTCTGGTTTCACAAAGCCTGGTGCCAACATCCTAGCTGTGCTAGACAAGAGACAGGAAGAAACACCTTGAGGTGCCATGTGAGATAGAATGACACTGATTCACTAGCAGGAAGTCTAAGAGGGAAAATAAACTTATTAAAGCATCGAGTCTATAAGTAGCACTATCCAGGGTTGAGAGTCCATTGGTGGCCAGGTGAACTAGCAACATTCATCCTCTCTATACAGTGTTGCTTCACAAAGCTGAATGGTACTTCTCCTTCTCTATAGTATTCCTAGAGTCCACTGGTGATGGGCTGGAAGAAAATTGTCTGGGATCTGGTGCTTGATGGGCTAGACAAGTGGCACCTCAGTCTGTCATGTCACCTCATTCAGTGATGCTTATCCTATCCACAGTGTTCTGTGAGGATCAATGGCAGCCTGCTGGACCAAGAGTACTTATGCTTTTCACGGTGTTCCTTTTCTGTACCATTTATCTCAAAGCCAGATTTTATTGGTTAGATGCCAGAAGTATTGGCATTATTAGCTAGCTTTTGCTCTTTGTATGACTAGCAGTCCAGGAACAGCTGACTTACAGAAAAGTAGTTTTTCTTTACAGATAATGCTAACTTGCCTAGTTCCCAGTGTACTTTGGAGAGGCTAACTTTAATTCTGTCTAGTGGGCCTCCAATGTTCCCTTACCAGAGAAGTGCATTTCAGGAATAGGGTAGTTGATGCTGAAGTTCCACTGCTTTCAGGGATCATGGATAAAGCTTACAAAGAAGTAAATGAGTGAGATCATAAACATATGGTAATTGATAATGGAAATACTACCAAGAGCTATGGGAATATAAATACCTAAAGTGTACCACATAGAGAGTCTTGCTAGCCCAGAGCTCCCACTCTCTAATGTTGTGGTTGGCCTTTCTGGTATCCAGCCCCAGCCTGCTTGTTCTGTGGGAGTCTGCCTGAGTTCAGCTTCGACCTTTCGAAGGGTTCTTGGGTGGAGGAGAGAGGAATGAGGAAATACTAGGTAAAAAGATAGAGACGATAAGAAAGACAGAGACACAGGATAGCTTCGGGAGGGTCCTGAGTCAATACATAGTCTCCTTGAGGTTTATTCCAAAGGACCTTTTGTACAATGCCAATGAGTGAGGCAGAAGACCTCCCCCTATCAAGATTAAAGCATAATTACAGCCAAGTGCAGACCCTTCAAAACACCTGGTAACCACGCCCGTAGCCAAATCATCCCATTATGCAGCCCTGCTGGGTAAAGCAAGCTTAAACTCTCTGACATTTAGTAATTTCGGCCCCCACATGGTGTCTAGAGTTCTCACTCAAGAACTTGTATAGGATAGAAACTTTGTGCCATAAAGCACATTATTTTGCATTCATCAAATAAGATTTCCTGGAGAATGTGGCATTTGAGTGGTTGAAAGTTAGATAGGTCAAACATTTGAGTAGGGCATTCCAGGCTAAGATAGTCGTTTCTGGCAATTAGCATTAGCTGTCACAGAACAAAGACTTATACAAGTGCAGGGTTCAACATATAGAAGGGCGTCAAGGTCATTTTTAGTGTTAGTGTAACACGTGTTAATAGAAAAAATAAGTAAATGCTAAGTGAGCCTATCATTTCATACTAATTATTAATCATAATCATTAATCTTACTCTTACAGAGCAGAAGAGAAAAGAGATTTGCTCATGTTTTTCCGAAGTCTGCATTTTTTTGTGGAGTTGTATGAATATCGTAAGAACACATTTAAGCATTTTAAGGTAAAGTCTGAAGATTTTAAATTTAAATATATATAGAAAATGAAGCTGGTGTTAATTTTGTTGTGATACACTCATAATTTGCTCTCTCTCTCTTTTTTTTGAGACAAGGTCTCACTGTAGCTCTGGATTTTCTGGAACTATGTAGACCAGGCTGGCTTCAAACTCACAGACATCTGCTTGACTCTGCCTCTTGAGTGCTGGGATTAAAGGCACGCACTACATACTTTCGTAGAGAATATTATCACTAGTGTAATAAGTTAGCAGTTATTTGTAATAAATGGGTGATAAGCTTCTGTGTAAATCAATGGATAAATGATATGGAATTTTATTATTTTGACTATTCATTATAGTCTCATTTATTTGAAAATTTTATTTTTGAAAATTTGGCCTTTCTGGAGTACATAAAATACAAGAATAAATGCTAGTAAAGAATATATAGTGCCAGTTGTTGTGGTGCATACCTTTGATCCCCACACTCACAAGGCAGAAGCAGGCAGCTCAGTATGAGTTTGAGGCCAGCTTGGTCTACATAGTGAGTTTCTGGCCAGCCAAGGCTATGTACACAGTGCCTTAAGCAACCTATTATATATTGTTACAAAACAATATAATTGTAACTTCTATGCCAGACTGTTTTAAGCCGCTGGATTATTGTACATCTGGAGTATAAATACTGAAGCCTGATTTTTATGAAGCAATGCTTTTAAGTCTGGAAATACTTCAAAGACTGCTTTCTGAAAACCATTGTTTAGGGACATAAGCAAAAGTTGTTTGCTTTGTTCTAATCCTTCAGATCCTACTTATTTCCATAACATTGTTATTAATAGCTGTGAGCCACACAAAAACCTCTCAATGAATCAGCATAAATAATATTTCAAGGTTCTAGTCCTTCAGAAGCCTAACCTATAACTATTATTTTAAAGACTAGTACTAATTCTCCTGTATTTGGGGTTCAGTTCTTTTTTAATTATTATTTTATTCATTGTCTTTGATTGAGTTAATAAAATCTGTCAGGCATAAGCTTTCTCCAGAATGAAAAATGGGCAGTTCCCACATTGCAGTCCCTCAAGTAATTCTCATGATTTTGTTATATTTTCATTTCTGGGCTCTCTGATTTCTTACATTACTTATAAGTATAACTCTTTGGGTTATTGTATTTTTACAATAAGTTTTGAAGTTTGTAGAAATGAGTCTTTTCTCTTGGTTCTTTTTCAAAATTTTTTTGTTTGTTTATATGGAGTTTTAAATATTCCATATAAATTTTAAGATTATTTTTATGCTTCTGAAAAAAACATCATTGATACTTTCAAAGAGATTTCATTGTATCTGGAGGTTGTTTTATTTTCTTGATCATATAAAATTTCCAGGCCATGGACATAGGTGTCTATTCTGTTATGTATGTTGTCTTAGTGTTCTGTTACTATGAAGATACACCATGACCAACTTATAGAAGAAAGCATTCAATTGGAGGCTTGCTCACATTTCAGAGGGTTAATCCATTATCATCATGGCAGGGAGCATGGCAACAGGCAAGCAGTCATGCAGTTGGAGAAGTAGTTGTGAGCTCACATCTGGTGCAGGCCTTGAGAGGAACACTGGGCCTGGCATGGGCTTTTGAAACCTTAAAGTCACCACCCTCAGTGACACACCTCCTCCAGCAAGGCCACACTTCCTAATCTCTCTTAAAACAGTTTCACTTCCTTTCACTAAGCATTCAAATATATGAGCCAATGGGGGTTATTTTTATTCAAACCATCACATATGTCTTTTGCTTTTGTGTACTTTTTGCAGTATTTGTAAGGTGTAAATAATTTTTAAAATATCTCATTTTCATCTTATGTGTGTGTATGAGTGTTTTGTTGCACGTTTGTAAGTATACCACATGTTGCTGGTAGAGTCTAGAAGGAGGTGTATTGGAGTCCCGAGAACTGGAGTTATTGGTGCTGGCACTAAATTTGGGTCCTTTACAAGAGCAGTAGGTTCTCTTAACCTCTGAACCATATCACCAATCTGTAGGAGGAGTTTTCCTGTCCCACAGCCGCTCTCAAATAAACACACTGAGGCTTATATTAATTATAAATGCTCAGTCGATAACTCAGGCTTATTACTAACTCTTACAACTTAAATTAACCCATTTCTATTAATCTATGTATTGCCACATGACTTGTGGCTTTACTTGTCCTCCAGCATGTCTTGCTCCATGTGTCCTGGCAACTCTTGACTCTACTCTCCTTCCCATCATTCTCCTAGTTTGGTTGTCTTGCTTTTAATTCCTGCCTGGCTACCAGCCAATCAGCTTTTTATTAAACCAGTCCAAGTGACATATCTTCACAGTGTACAAAAGGATTATTACACAGCACCAATCCTTTTATGATTTTTTTAATTTTAAGACTATTTCTTTAGTTATAATTGTCAAGAATGAAACACCTATATAATAGAGTAGAATCAAGAATAATTTTACTTGTGTTGTTTTCCTTGGTCCATTCTGGATCTTATTTTATTTTTTAGTTTAAGGGTGTGTAACAAAGATATAAGCTACCTATGTTCAAATGGTCTTACCTCGAAATCCAAGTTTTTTAAGTAAACTCTATATTTTATAATTTTTAGCAACGTTCTTTTCCCAAAAATTTTATCTAAAGCATTGTTTTTTTTTTCATTTTTCTTTTTTTTATTATTATTAAGAGATTTTCTATTCATTTTACATACCATTGGGTTTAACTTTGAAAACATTTATAATTTTCTTATGGTATTTTCTCATAAAATTCTATTACAAAAAGACTAGAAAGCTGGGGATATAGTTCAGTGGTCTTTTCTAGCATGCACCAGGCACTGTGTTGAGTCCCCAGAACAATACACACCCTCAAAATACCAAACAAATTATGTGTGTTTGTATGCATGTGTATATGAGTACATTTTTCTTGTGAAATCCAGAAAATTAATAGACATACCTATACTTTGTCCATTGTCTCAGTCTTGTCACTTTATTTCCATTGATTTATTCAAGATTATACTAATTTGTTTTTTCCATATTAGCAGTACCCTTCTATTTGGATAGATTTTACAATGTTTATTGTATATTTAATTCAAATGTGCTATTAGGTACCATAAAAGTGTAAAAGTAGAACTCTGTTAAGTAGTCCTGGTGAGCTTTCAGTCACAGAGAAACTGAGGCATGCACACAAAATGACACAGTAGGATAAAGTTACTATAATTAAATTATCAAAGTGAATGAACTAGTAAACAGTTTAGAGTAATAGTTGTGACCTTACAGGTCCCAGGTGCCTTAATGAAGTTTCATCTGGGGTCAGCCATAACAAATGAGTGAGATGGCGGTCAGTCTGCATTGGGGCAAAACACCAAATGCTTGAATGTTCTAGAAAAAGCATGCATATTCTAACGTGTACCCTATAATGGAAATGACATTGGTACTTTTATATATAAAGGTGGATATTTCTAAAACACTGATAATTTTGTGTTCAACCCCAAAGTAATATGTAGACTAATACTTGTGAGTGGGCTATGCGCCTTCCTCTGAAGATTAAATTAGGAACATTAGTCTGCGTTGTTCAGTTATCACTATTAGACTGAAGATTAGGTTTTCTCTGTTACATGTATCTGGAAATCATGGCCGTTGAGAAATGGTGCTCATGGACTGGATTGTAAATATTCAGTTTGTTTGGATGAACGTGTATACAGTTGAAGGTCTACATACAGCACAACAGAATAGACTTTAAATTTCTTATATTTGAACAAATTTATTGATGAAATTATTCCTATACTGTGAAAAGTTTACACTTAATTAATATTTGAGGATCTCTAGAGTGAAGGAATCTTATTATTCTTTGAGAAATGGGTAGAATTTTGATTTTTTTCTTACAATTTTTTTTTTTTTTATGTAATTGACTGAAGACTATCCATGTGACCACAAAGCATAAAACTGAACTTTTCTAAACTGGTTCTATACCAAAGAGTAAAATTTTACTTTATCTGGAAAATTTTGACTAGATGTGACTACCGTTTTTCTCAGGATGAGTGAGAACTACAGCAGAATAGCTGCCTTAACAGAAGGAAAGTTGCTGCTTTATGGAGAATGTGGATGAATCATAAAGTCAATGGAAGGTCACTTGGAACACTTGGCTTTTCACAGTTTTTTAGAACATCTGCCATAAATGCTTTTGAGATACAGTAAATGTTAAGAAAGACAAACAGTTGAAAGTTTCTTGGAATTCTCTTACTTCATTAGTCATGGGAATGGCGTATCTCATACTAGTGTTTGTATAAAAGCATGCTATTTAGATGGCAGTCTAGTGTAAACTACAAGGAGCTTTTAATGCTGTTTAGTTTCATATCATTTTGTTTTGAAACTAAGAGATTCAGTCTGGATTATTTTTGTAGTTACATATAAGAATTTTGGACGTCTTTGTTTAAACAAAATTCTGTCATAGTGAGATAAAATGATAATATTAAACTACTGTTTATGTTCCTTTAGACATTAGGTACACTACTTTAGATTATAAACTGCATTGATGGTGTTTAAAAGTATGACCCTATAGGTAATCTTTTTAAGCAAATAAAACTGTTTGGATGCTTTCCCAGAGCAATTGGATTGCCCTCCAGGCGAATCTCTTCAATACGGTCCCGAATGTAACGAGTGTCATTAGCCTTGCAGAATGTATCATCTGTAATTGAAGATATGCTGTTAAACTGAAAAATAAAAGGAAAAATACTCAGAAATCTCAAATCAACCTTTTGTACATTATATACAGGATCACACAGGATATTTTGCCTAAAATGTAATCCTTTTAAAAAATATTAGTTCACAGTAATGACAACCCTCTCTTGCAAACTGAACATATTTTTAAGTGTACAGTTTTGTTTTGGAATAACAGTCTACTCGTTATTACTCCAAGTTGCATCTGTTCAGTATTGTTTGGAATATAAATAGAAACATGCAAGCTAGAGAAAGTATCCCATTCCAATGTGTTAACTCAAAAATGGTACCG